CCCTCCCCCTGCCCCTAGGAAAGAGAATTCATTCAACTCGGTTCGTTAGTGTCGGATTAGCTGACTTAGCTCTTATTAGAGTCCCTCAAGTAAGAGTCTGGACACCTTCGACTTCTTGCTAATTAGCTTAGTTCTCCAAACTAATTGTAGATACCCTTCATAGATAGAGACATTCTAGTGGCGAACCAAGCATCGTTTCTGATCAAAAGGTCGGAGATGTCTCCTCTTACTTGAAGTACTCTAACTCTTATTAACGTCGTTCACTCGTTCGTTCGCTCAACCCATTTTTCCTGGATATCCATACTGGATTTTCCACAAACTCAGCGTTCCGCGGCCTGTCGCAACGCAGGTAAACCAACGACGCTCGCTCGCTCGCTCGCTCTGCAAATTGGCGGATCCCGCGTGGCCGGCTCGTAAAACTGCCCACCGGCCCGCACGCAGGTGGAATACCAAGCGATGAGGAAACCGCACGTGCCGCTGCCCGAGGGCAACAGCGACTCCTTATTTGCCCTTCTTCCAGAGGAAGCCGCCGCTACGTTCACCGGACATTCATTATTCATTGTCTCTCACCGTCGTCGTCTGTTGCAGGTGAAGGAGGACATGGCGACGTTGACCAAGACCTGCGGCGTCGGTAGCTTCAAGATGTTCATGGCGTACCGCGACATGCTCATGCTCAGGGACCCGGAGCTGATCGAGTCCTTCAAGGCGTGCAAGGAGCTGGGCGCCGTCGCCATGGTGCACGCGGAGAACGGCGACATCATCGCCGAGGTAGAGTAGACACGTCAGGCAACGATAACCGTGCGCCGGCGCGCACGTTATTCCAATTTCACACTTTACGACACTTCCGTTTGAGGATCCTCTCGCTCGTTGTGGAAGGCCGCTCTCGCAAACGCGAGATCCCGTTCACGAGATCGCCCTGTCCCGCGATAAGATCGATAAGCTAAAGTGGCTCGATTGGCTGTAAATAGAATAGAAGAGAGGATTCGTCGAGGTAGAGCTGCTCTCTCTAATTGCTCTCGGAGCACTGTTTCGCGCGCGATTCACGCCGTTACCGTAGGAACAAGTCCTGCGAGATCATTGTCTCGGGCATTGTTCGGACGGTGCCTGTGATTAAGAGCGTTTGTAGCTAATTACGAAATTCATACGCGAAGAATCGGGCGGAGACCTTTCCCGGACGTTACAATGTGCGTTGGAACGAGGTTCTGATAGAGTTCCTTGAATACAGAATCTAGACAATTATGATAAATTTTTTTTTATTGATTTCGATTACTTGGAAACGAAATGTCAAAAACAATCGATGCTATCATCCGCTTTACATGAGTACTTGCGGAAAGAAGCAACCAATTAACCGTCATTTTCTGCAGTCATTTTCTGCAAAGTGATCTCTCGCTCGTTCTCTCTCTCTCTCCTGTCACGGTGAACTTGTTCCAGAATGCGCAGAAACTGCTGGACGCGGGTGTAACCGGCCCGGAGGGTCACGAGATGTCACGGCCCGAAGAAGTCGAGGCGGAGGCTGTGAATAGAGCGTGCGTCATAGCGAATCAGGTGAGCGCGCGAGTGACTTGGTACCGCATGGCGTTGGTAGAAGACGATACATTTCACAGGCGGTTTCGTGTACTGGCTTCGTTTATACTACTGTGTGCCTCTGTGTGTACGTTGCCCCATCCGACACGCGCTCTCAACGAGCCCTTTGCTATCTATTCGTTTCCGAAGTTCGCCGTGGTACGGATGCACTTGGCACGCTACTCCGCGGCACGGTATTCAGTTCACGAATGATCGTAAATTTCTAGCGTAGAAATGTAGAATTCGGGACAACGGCGAGCGCTGCTTTTCGTGGCATGTGCCCAAGATACGTCCGAAAATCTTGCCTCGTTTCGCACTCCTGTCCGGGTCGAGGGATATCTGTGTCGCGGAGCGACCGAATATGGACCGACGGCGCCTAATGACACTTCCATCATCGTGGATTTTTTCAGAATTTTTTTCTCCTTTTCAAAACTTCGCGTTTTACCGTTTTTCTCCCTCCAAATTATCGAATCAGCCGGAAAGTTTGGCTTGAATTTTCAGTTGAATTAATTGCACTCGATGAGACTTGAATCGCTCATCGACCGTCGTTGTGCTTGCGATCTTTCATTGTAATGTGTATTGTGGACGTCCTCAGTTATTATTGTTGCCTGCACAGAAAAGAATAGTCTTAAATCAATGATAGATATTCTCACAAGCAAGATTATTATAACGTTCTTACAAGATTTTTAGTCTTGAATTGAATGCGTCAATAGAAGTTTAATTAAATCGAGACTAAGAATTAAATCGAATCTAAGAAGATTATAATATTCTTGCTTATATATAAATATATCTATTATTGATTTAAGACTGATTTTTTTTTTTTCATCGAATGTATCGATCATTGAATATATTTCATCAGATATCTATTGCAAAGATATACAGCGTGTCGCAAAATTCCTGCATGCGGAGTGTGCACGAAGGTTTTTTTTTATACCAGGAGAAGTAACTTTCTTCTTCATCAAAATTACGTTCGAATAATAATAATTTTGCCCCGGAAAGCGATTGAAAAAATGAGGTTTTTCGCGAACTAAGCTAGGTAGCAAACTTATTTTCTTCGAACAATTTCAAATAAACTTGAACAGAATTTTAATCTAAGGCTCAGCTTCAAAAATGTTATATTGAAAATTGAAAAGTCACTATAAATAATGATTTTTCTCGATATTTTCGCTAAGAAAAAATTACTTCTTTCGGTATCAAGAATCTCCCTGCACACTCCGCATGCAGGAATCTTGGAACACCTTGCAGATTGCGGTCTATATTGTTATTATCAGCCGTTATCGTTATATTACACAGATATAACAGTATTTAATGAAAATCGAATCGAAGTTTCCGAAAGTCACTAGTTATTTATTGAAGATCGAAGGGAATTTTGCGACCGATCCGACGAGGAGCCCTCCTTTGAAGTTGCAGCTTTAAAGTGTTCGTTTCAATATACACAGATATCCTTAGTTATTATTGTTGCTTTCATTGTGTTACATTGTTATCTCTTGACTCGCGTCCTCATATAACGTCATTCATTGTATATCCGCCGCTGTATTAGTTCGAAATTCCGCATGCTTAGATCAACTGCCCGCTGTACGTAGTGCATGTGATGAGCCGTAGCGCCGCCGCGGAGGTGGAGGCCGCGCGTAAACGCGGCATTTGCGTCTTCGGCGAGACCTTGGCGGCCGCGATCGGCACGGATGGCACCCACAGCTGGCACAAGTGCTGGAGACACGCCGCCGGCCACCTTTTAAGCCCACCGCTCAGATCGGATCCGGACACACCGCGAGCGCTCTTGGACATGTTGACCAAGTGAGTCGCTGCCAACGCTGAGATAATTCTGGCCGACTTTGACATCAGAGTGGGCCGTAGTCGCATTAAATTTGAGAAGCTATTTGTACGCAGAGAGAAAGGAAGCAGAAAGTCATCGCGTGGATTATTCGAGGGACGCGTGACACACGAGAGAATTATCTCGACACGCATTCATAGAGCCGCGACTTCGTGAATGTTACTTTTCCTGCACGGAAAAGAAATTTCGATTCTTATAACTGAATAGAGGCCAGATGAAAACTCGGTGATTAGAATTGATGTCTCTGTTAGGCTGAATCTGATAATAAACCTTTAATTTTTTTACTTTGAGCAATAAAATGTAACGTAATTTCTGAAGAAGAAAAAAAACGCTTCTTGCACTGACAAAAAGATTTGGTAACAAATATTAGAATTTGGTGAATATTTGCCGACCAAATATTTGATTACTACGGCCAGATAATTTAGTTCCATATACTGTGCTACAGTTCCGTATATTGTATGTTTAATATACGCAATTAAATTATTTGATTGCAGTAATCAAGTATTTGGTCGGCAAATATTCATCAAATTGTAGTATTTATTACCAAATTCTTTTCTCAGTACGCGTTGTCAAAAATCGTAATAACATTTAAATCTTAAAAATTACAACATCTGAAAACGCTTTTTGCAAATCTCTGAAACGAAAACGACAAAAAGTTTGATTTCACAGAATTAAACCTTTGGTTCAAAGAACTAAATTTTGGTTCTCCAACCAAAAGATTTGTTTGTGTGCATCCTAACCAAATTTTGTTGGAGTCAATTAAATGAATTTTTCAATATAAATTCAGCCTTATCGTGACCAAGAACATTCGCGTGAACATTTAGCTGCACCAAAATTCGGTTGAGCCAACTGAAGGCAATTGACCGAGTTGAAGCCTCCTGCAGGAATTTTTCTGTTCCTACGACCGAGTTTTTGTCTGGTCCCCAAGCAGCGGTAGATTCAGTCACACCGATGGAGTTGTTTTCTTTTTCGTGTACGATAACTTCAAGCCAAGTAGCATGTTCGAAGCATCGAGGCGAAGTAATCTCTAGTTGCGGCTGTTTAAACGCGGGTCCGGTAACGCGTAAACATTCCAGAACCCTTCTCGCCAAGTGTGGAGACTTGCCCGAGAACATCGTCGGAGGGTACTTTCGTTCGAAATCGATGCGACAGGCACATACCGGCAGGCCCGGCTTTCCACTTAAAAGGAGTAACGCATCGACCGGTCTGTGCTTAAATAACACCGGTGGGGAAAACGTTAGAGGCTTTTTACAATAGGCAATAAGACTTGAGCAGTACGGAAATTGGTCAACCACAGTTGATTATTCCTGTAATAAACGACGGTTATTGACCAATTTCCCTACTGCTTAAATCTTATCGGTTATTGCAGAAAGCTTCTTAGATTCTCGCCGAGGGAGAGGCGGTGGAGTGACAGTTGGAAAATCTCAGATGGTGAAACCTTTACGATATTTTACCGCTGAATTCTGCCAATTACACCAAGATCGAATGACGTTCTACGAAACGCGTCGCGTGCACCCACCGGCGCGAGGTATCGATTGTACCGAATTCTGTGTCGTTTCGATTCCCCTTTCTTCCCCCGTCGCCCCCTTCACTTTCTACACAGCTGATTAGCGGAAATAGGTTGCACAATTGCGCCAATAGTAATTTAAGTTTCCACGTTAGCCGGGCGTAACTTGCGTGACGTATGCGCATAGAGCGCGCAATCCGTTATCCGTTATTGCGCGCTGAGATTTATATTTAGCCGCCCCGTCGAAGTCCCGCTCCTCGTATGCATGTTCTCAACTATTTCGTTACTATTGTTAGCATGTCTTGATTATCTCCTTGCTCTCTTAGTTTTGCCAGGTGTAGCTGTTACGTGATTAGCACGATCTCCTCGCATGATCTCCTCGCATGATCATCCTCGTCGTTATAACGTTTGTATCAACGTGATACGCTTTAAATAGATATATCCGTAAAACGTTACTTAGTTGTGAGACGAGCGCGACTGGTAAAAAGCTTCACGGTCCTTAACGGTGTTCTGATATACAGGGTAAGGCAATATTTTTTTATAATCATACAGTTCTTTTTTTTTTTAGCACAGATCGATTCCTGTGTTCATCTCGCGTATAAAAGTACCAGGATGAGACCATCGAAAAGTGAATAGATATTTTACCTTTTATCCGGATACTTTTCAACACAAGGTATGAAATATCTCATCAAGTATTCACTTTTCGATGACATCGCTTTAACATTTTTGTACGTAGAGTGACGGGTGAAACCGATCGCTGTAAGCAGAGAAATCTAAAAACAATTCGTTGTATTTTATAAATATATCAATGCACCAATGTGCAATGATTAATATCAGTAATCAATTTCTCTCATGATTGTACACAAAAGTGTTAAGACACATAAAATGTTGAAAACGGTGATTCCATTTAAAAAATGAAAATTTCAGATTTTCAGATCTTTGAAACTATTCCAAGTAGAAAAAAAAGCCTATCACCATGAGACGAACGACCGCTTCTATACTATGCAATTTCTCTTACTCTCATAGTTTCGAAGATATTCAAGGTGGTAATAATTATTGCCTCACCTGTATACAAAATTATATATATATATATATTTGTAATATATTTAAATTATATCATTATTATATAATTAATACAATTGGCCTCTCGAAACTTTCAGTCGACTTCTAAAATAAGCTTTTTTTCAGCCGTGACTATATTTAGCTTTACATCTCCTGTATACATAATGATAAAAAAAAACAAGAGAGAAAATATAGCGGTTATTTCAGTGAGAGGATAAAAATATCGCGTTTAGGTGAATAGTCCGCTGTACATAACGGCGATCACGAGCAAGGTGGCCTCCGATGTCGTGTCGGCGAAGAGGTCGGAGGGTGCCGTCGTTTTCGGGGAAACTCTGGCGAGTGCCGTCGGTATTGACGGTAGCGAGCAATACGGCAAAGACGTGGAGAGAGCAAGGCGTTTTGTTACTAACCCGCCGTTGCGACCTGACCCAACGACACCTGCGTATTTAACTGAGGGTCTGGCCCAGTAAGTAGACGAAAATCCCACCGTAGTCTGCATAAAACGAAATTACGAAATCGGGCTCCGAGTCAGTCAGAAGATCCGAACTGAGAAGTACACGTCCGGCTTACGTGGGCATCGTCCTTTCGAAATCATACTACCACTCGCTTTCCAGCAAGAAACATAAGTCAATACAGTTTATACTGAAAGAAAAATTGCTACGTTCAAGTAAATATTTGCTAAGAAGTATTGCAGTAATTTATTTTATTTTAATTAAATAAATATTGTATGTAGCGCACTGAAAGTAAAAAACATGCTACATTCAAGTAATATTTATTTAATCCAAATAAACTATTCCAATGCTCCTTAGCAAATATTGACTCGAACGTAGCAATTTTGTTTTCAGTGTAGCTGTATCATTTGTCCTTACGTTGCATTTGATAAAGAAAACCATAATAGTTGATATAACTAGGCCTGTGTCGACTTGTGTCTTTTGCTGGAAAGCAATCTTTATCGCGTGGACTCCCCGACTCTTCCTCCGCGATTCGATAGCCGCGTTATGTGTTGCCTTCCTGCGCGCGAACGTTCGTCTCAGCGATAAATTACAATAACAAACTGACGAGAACGACATGAGCGTATAATTCGTTCCGGTGCTTATTAAAAGTTGAGGCGTGGGAAGTCGGCGTGTGTCCGATGCGACCACGGTGTGTTAATGTTAATTAAACGGGAGAAAAAAAGTACCGGCCGCGTTCAACAGCCGTTTCCTAGCTCTCTCTCGATCGTTCGTTCTCGCGTGACACGCCGCTTGAGATTACTTCACGCACTCGTGCGACCATCCTTAGGGTGACTTTCACCCTAATTAATCAGTTTAGCTAATTGGTCAATGCGACTGGTCAATTCTGTTGAGTCGACTTTCGGTTGAATTTAACCGGACTTGGTGAAAGACACCTTTAGGCTAAATCTTTCATTTTCTAATTAACTTGTGGCTTAAATTTAAATGAATAATAATGTGAAAATTATGTTTTTCTATTCATAGTTAATGATCCAACTTTAACACTTTGCGGTCCGTCGACGGCACTGTGCCGTCGCGATTCGACAACATTGGTTTTATCGATAAATCGAAACATATGCGGTTTCAAGCAATTGGCAACATGCAAAACAGATGAATAGTGATTCGTAGCTATGTCAAAACAAGTGACGATCGCTCCAAATGTTAGGATTGTTCTTTTGGAGCTAGTCTTTCGATTCTAGTCGACCGACAGATCTTAGCAGTGTAAACGCTTTTGTGAGCTGAGGAAAAGCAATAAATGTTATCTAACACAGATTTTTCTTTAGACAAAGAAATTCAAAATGTAGAAGGTAAATACGTCTCTTACAATCAGTCATTGGTTTATTATTTATCAATCGTACACGTGTTCTCTAATTGTATTTGTTTATTTATCTACTGGTTGGTTTCGTATTATGCCGTATTTTATATTATTTTGTTTCATATTATATGGGCATAGATGATATATTACCGATATTTCGTCGACGTGTCGTGAGACGAATCTTGTCAGAATATTCGTCATATTTCGTCATCAGACGAATATTAAGAATATTAAGTGATATCCACGGAGAAAAAAGAATGCTTGCAAACACATGTAAACGAGAAGAGAAATATGTTTTCTATTCTTTTATTAATCCTATTGATATAATGTATGCGCTTAAAAAATCGATTATATCTATGTTTGACTTTTTTCCAACTCAAAATAGACCATGATTTTGATAGTTTCAGAAAGTAAAACTCTCACAGAAAAGTTAACTTTTATAGTGTTTAATAATAGAGAAAAAAATGAACTTCACGATAAAAGTTTTTTTGAATGCGCTAGGTTCAATAGTTTAACAGATATCAACATTTGTATAAGAAGAAAATCAAATAAGCGTGGCTACTTTCGTATTATGCCTTCGAGAAGTTCGAACATATTAGTCAAGCGTCTTCGGGTGGGCCGCGGGCTGCAAAGTGTTAAAAGTTGCCTACAAAACCATCAATTTAATAATTAATCATGAATAAAAAAACACAGTTTTTGCACTATCATCAGTTTGAGTCTAAACCGCAAGTTAACCAGAAGATGAAAATCGGGTCTCAGCCTGCTCAAGACGTCAAGGTGACTACTTAGCTCTTCGTTTCCTCGTCGTTCTCTTCCCTGACCTCTTCCGGACCTTCACTAATGCGACCGCATTTCAGAGATAATCTCCAAGTGATCGGCAGCGACAACTGCACCTTCAGCGCCGAGCAGAAGGCTCTCGGCAAGGACGACTTCACGAAGATCCCCAACGGCGTGAACGGCGTCGAGGATAGGATGTCGGTCCTCTGGGAAAAGGGCGTGCATGCCGGCATAATGGATCCGCAGCGATTCGTCGCGGTCACCAGCGCGAACGCCGCCAGGATCTTCAACCTGTACCCCAGAAAGGGCGTCATAGCCGTCGGCTCGGACGCCGACATTGTCGTTTGGGATCCCAACAGGAAGCGCACCATTTCCGCCGAGACCCATGTGCAGGCCGTTGACTTCAACATCTTCGAGGCGAGTTTGATTGAGTCGTCCGCTCCCGTCGTCGGACAGCGATCACTCCTGCAACGGAGATGATATATCGTGTCTTAAGCGACGCATGCTCGTGTCACCAATCGGCAGCTTGCGTTTTTATTCTCGATGTCTCTCGCGTAGCGTAAAAACGCACAGGTTATCGGATTGTAACGCACGTTACATCCGTGATACATCATTGTCACGTTGCCTGCAATCAGGATATCGAACATGTAATTCTTCCTAGGGTGAAAACGTGAAAGGTGGAATGTTTTCAAATTAGAAAACTTATACTCTTCACGAATTCATGCTAGAGGAGATTCATGACCAACTTCCATGAATCTTCTCCTCTAGTGAGAACTCGTGAAAAATGTAATTTCTTTTAATTTAGAAACACTTCACTTTTCACGTTTTCTTTCTGGGGAAGAAATTACGTGATCGTTACCCAGTAGAGAAAATAGCTTAATGAGCGCTTAACTCCTTGACTAGCAAATCGAATTTCCGATTTTTAAAAGTTAAGCTGTGTCACTAAAATTTGATGTCCAGAGGTTTTCGAAACTACCTGTTTACAAATATGAAGTCAAAATTTTTCAAATTCAAAATGGTGGGCCTAACGTGGCGATTATAGTCATAATTTTATTTTACTAAAATAAAACTAGACATCTTTAAATTCCCCCTATATATCTAACGTATTTTTGACAATGACAAATTAACAATCAAAACTGCTAATTTAAAGGATACCGAAATAACGAATAAATATAATTTATAACGATAAGTTATATAATATGTGGATAACACTTCATTTTGGTTATCTATATTGATTTTAGGACTCGTTCTTTCGAATTTTTAATTTCAAAATTCACGATTGAAAAGTGGGACCTCAAAAGTCCCAAAATACATTTCAACATTTTTGTAAAACTTACATTTTTTCAACTATAGGTTGACCATATTACATCCGCCATTTAAAATTTTGAAATTTACCACTGAGTAGAGAGACTCCAAAAACTTTTGAACACCAAGTTTTAGAAATATTAAACTATCAGAAATATCAAAACGCAGTATTGCGTTTCTGCCAGTCAAGGAGTTAATAATTGTTGCTCTTGATTGGAACATTCTGGATTTGTCGAGAATACAAGACAATACTTCAGTCGCAGACAATAATCACTAAGCGCTCGCCGAACTTCTTTCTCTGTTGAACGTAGCTATTATTCTCTTATCATTGCTAAATTACATCATTATTTGCAAAACTTACTATATTGCTGACACAGGGTATGGAAGTGACTGGGGTACCTGAGTACGTGATCGTCAATGGGCGTGTATGCGTGGACGAGTGCGAGCTCAAAGCTGTCCATGGGTTCGGGCGATACGTGAATACGGAGCCGTTCGGCACTTTCGTGTACGACATGATCAACGAGAAGGAGAAGGTACGGCTTCTGGAACAGATGTCGGATCAGTTAGCTTGACCTATTGTGGATGCGTTGTATCTCTAAAGAGTGTCGTTAAAATTCCTAGTCGCTGCAATCGTCTTGTTTAATGACCTCAGAAGCGAAAAAACGCATACCCGAAATTTTTGTAATGTTGAAATAAAGATTAAAATAATATGTCCATAAAATGACAACTTTAATTGATTTGAACATATTTGTGAAATATTTCGTGAACTTTTCTTTTATTGCTCTAGTAATCAGTAAATAACCGAGAAATTAACATTACATATAATCTTCTATTTTAGCCTATTTTTCTCATGATTTTGTTACGTTAATTTTATAGTTGATTGTTAAAGTAAAAAGAAAGTTTCCGGAACATTTTATAAATGCGCTCAATCGATCACAAATATCAATTTATGGACATATCCTTTTACTTCAGCGAATTCCGCAAGAATTTTGGATATATATTCGTCGCTTCTGATGTCATCAAACAAGATGACTTAATCAAGATGGCTACGGTAAATAATTAAGAGCTTTAACGTGATTAAAGCGTTATTGTATTTAAATTATTCAGCACACGAAGAGAAATTCACCAACTGGGTCCATGATGGACCCAAAATTATCTTTTTATATATTCATATTACGAATCATTTGTAGGAATAGGAATATTATGAAATATCAATTTTTTTAATCTCGTTACCTGCGAGCAGAGACCACGCGGAGTCGCCCGGACGGAAGCGGAGGCGAAGCGACACGCCGAGGAGGACGCCGCGATCGCGAAGGCTAAGGAAGCGGCGAGAGCGGCCGCAGCACGGGCCAACCAGACAAACGGTACTCACGAGAGTCCGAAGCCGAAACTGCAGCCTATCTCTTGCATGCCGACCTTGCCGGATTCCGCCGTGGTGACGCCATCCACGAAGGGCCCGAGGATGGAGGGGCAGCGGAACCTGCAAGATTCCACCTTCTCCATCAGCGGTGAGTCTTGAAAAAAATGAATTACTTTCGCCTTTCACGCGCGGGATTTCTCCCTCAATAACATCTCTCTGAATATTTCGGTCTTTATTGCGAGCGCACGTTCAGCATCAAATGTACATTGTCATACATTAATGAAGTCCCATTCCCCCCTAGATAGAAATATAACGATATCGTAAATTACGAATTAGGTGCACCATTTCTGAATATTCGTGCATCATGACTGCTGTTTCGAGCATCTTTGCTGGTTAACAGAGTAATCAGCAGTCGTGATGCACCAATATTCAGAAATGATATTTCTAATTTCAAAATTTCCGATATCATATATGCCTAAGAAATGGGACAGCATTACGAGCATGTAAGGCATTGTATCATCACAATATCGATTATAGTCACCAACGAGATAATATTAAAAACCCACTAAAATTTTCAGCCCTGGATAGCAAATTTTCTATAAACAAAGTAGAGGTCCCTCAAGTAAGAACGGGACATCTCTGACTTTTTGATAAAAGAATGTTCTCTGGTTTGTCACTGTGTCTATGTGATTTATTTTATTATATATAATATTATTTATAAAAATAGGTTTTTTTTACTTTCTTATAAAATTAATCTGTATTATTTTATAATTATTTATCTCCCATCTTAGAGTAACATTTACTTATCAAACGATGTCTCTTTATTTGACAATTCTCAATTCCGCCATTTAATCAAATAAGGAATTAGGTCAGTCAATAAGAAGTCAAAGATGCCTCTTATTTGAGGAACTGGAGGGCAAAGATTGACACAAATTTATGGAGATTGGAGGTTATTAAACATCAAAATTTTTCTGAATACTAATTCCTTATAAGACCGATGATTTTTAATATTACCTCGTTGATGCCATAAAATTTCCAAGGAAACCAGACACGATTGCTGCGGCAATCAAGGTAGTTAGAGCATATCGCATCTAGACTTCGCAAGATTCATTTGATATATCTCCCAATGGTTCATACTAACACTTGAAAAAAGGTCATAATCATAAGTCATCAGAGAGCATGAACGAAATTGGGCTCACCCTGCTCGTCCGGTGCTTCAAATCAGCGAAGGGAACATAAGCGCGTTTATTCTTGCAGAGGATGTCGAGGAAGCACGACGGGCTTGCATTCGCGTGAATAATCCACCGGGCGGCCGCAGTGCGGGAGGCTTTTGGTAATTTATTACAAAATAAGAAATAAGCCGAGAGCGAGTCAGGATTTGCTTTGCGTATAAAGAGGCCACTTAATGCGAGAGAGATCAATGGAATTTCATCCCTCTTCTCCACACACACACTCCTCGTCACCACCTCCTCCTCCTCCTCTCATCATCCACCGTCACCATCCCCATCACACATCCATCCACGTACACACACACACCTACACATATGCCGCACGCTTCACGCTCATTTCGACGAGCCCCCCGCTTTCAGGTTCGCTACTCACCAAATATTACATATGCTAAGTTCAGTCGTTTTCACACTGTATTCCCATCGATCAAGGTCTGTTCCATCGAAGGAGGATGTGGAAGCCCCCGGCCAGTAGGTTGTACGTTTCCATACATTCATATAATCGTACCACTTTCTCGCTTCGTTGTCGCTTCATCGCTGCACTTTTATATCACTGGCGTGTGCTTGAATCATTGACCTTGGTCCGTTTCCTCGACCGCGGCATTCAAGAACGGTGTTCTCAGAGTTGTTAACGACGTTCACATATTGGCAGATCACTCGAAGATCACTTCCGTTACATATATATGCACTATGAGAGACTTTATTTATTTATTGTTGCACTTAATTGTGGCAGGATATTATATATGAAAAGATATATATGTATATATATAATTTATGCGTTATATCGTATAAATTTGGGGATATATGTATATTTATAGAATCCGGCAGCATGAATGCGGAAGTATTCAGTTCGATGCAATTTTTATTAACGTGTTCACTGCGTTTTACGCTTACGTATCCCTATATTGCAGACTACATTTACACAGCAACGTTAATTCGATTTAGTAAGAACCGTGGTTAGTTTCATAACTCTTGCATTTAATTGGAATATATCTTTAGGTCTAAAAGAATATGTCAATCGGATGCAAAAGCTCACTAACTACGGTTGTTATCAAGTCGGATTAACGTTGCCATGTTAATATAGTCGTGTATCGGTGAAACTCACACGGTCGGTTATTATTACGTTACAAAAAACTCTGAAAGTTCCAAGGTCAAGAGCTTGAAAGCATTTGTTATCTATGATACGAACTTTAACGGCGAATGAGAGAAATGCGACTCTTTTCCTTTTGTTGTCTATCGTTATTACATTACAATTCGTCTATACAATTCGGAAGACAAAGAATTTACGATTACGCCAAGTAGAGATATTTTATTCTACGAATGGAAGCAGTGTTGTGATATGTTAGTCACAATTTTTATCATTGTCATTATTATTATTATTATTATTATCATTAAGAACGTTGCTTGTTTATTGTCGATGATAACGGGAACTCGCGTTATAAAAGAGTTGCGGCTCACAGAGAAAGTGAAGAAACTTAGTGCTTTTAAGTTTGCAACACTTGCATTGAGCCATCGGTGAAAGAGTTATGTTTATTTATGACGTAATGCGTTACACAGATATATATGTATATGGAATAGTTGCACTATATCGCATATAATTACGTGTACTCTTGTATGATCAAAAAACGGGGCTCAAAGAGAGCCACCGGAATTCCACTTTGAACTTTTCGTTTCCACGACGTACGATATTTCCGTTGTTGAACAAAGGCTGAGGACCTTCCATCGCGATGTGGAAATGACAGTTTACTACAAACACGGTTTAATTAACACTGTTTTGTGGTCAGATTCATTTCGGACACCGTGGCCATGAGGGAACGTATGCACGCGTGCATCACGTCCCTTCGTGGTATTTATTTATTTATTACCTCGACTCCCCCTCCCTCAACGCTTACCTACATATACTCGATTGATTGATTTTTATTACAACGAAACGCAAATGTGTTTAATGTTACGTTACGTGTTACGGTCGAGACAAGAATATTTCGGCAAGCGATCGATTAGGGACTTTAAGTGTACATAACGACCTTAGTTTACGTTAATTTAAACGACCACTGTCGCGTGACCAGTTCCAATCGCGGAGGACTTACATTTTGTGCGCGTGTTTCCGCACAATGGTTTCACCCAGATAGAGAGAGAGAGAGAGAGAGAGAGAGAGTAATCGAAACTCTTCACGATTGAATGTTGCATTCTAAATCGATCGTGACAAATCTCATCGGAGGAAAGGAAAATTTGTATTCGCGCTTGTAGAATTCTAGAAGCACCACAAATACGTCGACGACGCGATTCCAAGTGGAACGATGATTTGTACTTTGATAATCGACGATCACGAGCGAATGGAGGGTTTCCGTTTAGCCTGCTGGAACACGTAGCTATATAAGCGAGCCCGGTCGACCAAAGCTTGCAGCAACGCTGAAAGTCGATTCTCTCCGCTTAGTGCGACGTATCCGAGCGCACGACAATGCAATACGACGCACAAATTTTTTAATACGAAACATCGACATTTGTGCGAGAGAGCGACGAGCCGACGCTCGCTCTCGCGTACGTACATACATCTTCGCACCGTGGAGTCATCACGATGCACGTAGGAAGTCGCGTTTTTTCTAAGGAGTGCACATTCACTAACTAACGTAAGAACTCTTCTCGACACCGGGGACACACGCTCGCGGAATCATGCGTTCCAACTTGTTCCCTTAAATCTGGGTGTACACTGAGTGAACGAACGCAAACTTGTCACAATTTGGAAGATATACGCCGTAACGAACAGAACCGTTTCGGACCGATTTTTGCTCATAAAGCGGTTCATCAAAGAAAGTTCGCGTTTATATACATGAATATACGCATTCATTCTAAGGGAAAATGACCGTACACGTGTATATTTTGCCTCGATATAATTTATATTATGTGCCCACATATAATAATACGTAATTATATTATATTTGTCCCACATCTAAAAAATATTGTTGTACAAATGTAACTAAAGTAAATGCTTATGTTTATACCTTGCCACGATGTAAAGACTTGGTTGAATCAAGATACTTTTTCTGTTTCCTTATTCAACGGTATTTCTATATGTGTAATGTTTTATATAATATCTTATAATATATATAATTATATATATTTTTATATAATATCGTATAATTATAATCATTTGTAGCCATATAGAGACAAAATTCGCATATAAGTCGCATATATAATTACATATAATCATTTTATTCCGGGACATTCGCTGTTCGTTCGCTCAATGCGCGTCCACCGTCACATTCTCAACAATCGTCTCCGCCCGATCAACGTTGCCCGACATTCCGATCTTGCGAGAGTCTGTGTATTTCAACACGCGAAGTTTTTCACCCTCTTTGATACACCCGAGACCGAGGTATCGACCACTCGCTCTTCTTGTTTCTCCTCGTCAGTCTGATCCCTTTCCGACGACATTTCACCCCACCTGACGACGCTGAGAGACGCACTAGGCGCGTCCGAAGGCACCGTCGAGAACTCACCACCGCCGACTCGTTGATTTCACACCTGCAATATCGATGAAGTCGATCAATAAATTGTAATCGCATAATCTCTCATCATCACGTAACGAGTATTAATTATATAACCATTATTCTGTGTGTGTATGTGTGTGCGCGCGCGCGTGTGCAAAGGACTGCGAGGGTCTCGTACGGCTAAAGCTAAAGCTTGCGCGAGCAAAACGGAGGACCAAGGTCTCTCCATTGTCAACGTCGACCTGTCCATCAAGAGGGGAGACCTTTTTCCAAGCGACGTGTGTTAGAAAGATCAAAAAAATTTTCTAGTAGATTTTTTATCGGAATTCCGTAGACATTTGTAGGCGTCTTATAGCTAGCGATAGTCGGATACGTGACGTGTGTGATTGCTTTTCTTCTTCTCCTCCTTATTCTTTCTTCTTCTGCGAAAGAGTGTCGTAGTTATCGCAAATTCGCGCGAGTCACCGGTCGATTTTTGCGTTAATCTCATCCGGAATCCACTTAGTTCTCGAGAGGAACTGGAATTATAGATTTTTCTATTTTGCCGGAGACTTGTTCAAGAATTCACCTTTCTTTTTTCGAAAGCGTTGCGAGAGTTGCAGTGAAAGTTCGCGAGTTACAGGGCACAAACGCGACTATTGAATAATCATAAAGTATCGTATGCATGACGTATAAATATTTTAACACATTGTTACATCAATTAAACCTCCGAGAGTTATGTTATACTTTACGTATATAAGGCTGTTTCAATTCAACGCCAGAGTAATATGAATTGTTTTGCGTTATCACTGTCGAGTGTTCAGTGATGTGTCGATCATTTGAGTGGCGTATACAATATGCGCGAGGGCTCGATGACAAATAGCATACTATGATTAATCAATGTGTTCACGTTATGTGACTTCGTGTCGAGTATTCGGAAGAAATGTATAGTTTATTGATATAATTGATGACACAGCTAGAGTATCCTATTTATGTCTGTTATACTGGATGTATAATCGCTTTAAATAAATATAACGTGACATCTATAACAACGCAATCCGTGATCTTTTCTTTGTATATCGTGTCCTCGGATGATGCGCAGATACACCACACGACTTTGTGCGACGATTTGTTATTGTGTACACACTGAGAAAAAAATATCTAAGAAATAAAAAAATATTTATGCAGTGAGTACTCTAATAACATATTATATTTATTTATAATAATATATATTCTTATATTTATGGAAAAAATGTTTTCATGTGAGAAAATATACATTTTCTTCTTAAATCTGTAATCTTTTATGAAATTGCTTATTCTATTTGAATAAAAGAACGATTAGAAGAGAGGTTGATTTAGTGAATATGTTAGTACTCACTAAATAAATACATACGTTTCACTATTTAGATATTTTTTTTAAGTGTCGAGAAGACAGAGCTTAGGGATTTGTAAAATGAATAAATCCAGCGGCGGGACGTTTCTATTATCAACAATTTATTTTGCGGTTATAATAGAAACTTTCGATACTATTACGTCATATACACGTAGATTACATGCGTTTTTTTTTCTTTTACTAATTACCGATCTCTAATATCAGTACCGTCAGTCTGACGATATACTTTTCTGCGCGATAATTTAATTTACATCGCGAATGCCGCATTCAGTTTCTTTTCTAACGTTATACCGTATGTTTGTTGTCGAGTACTAAGGTGATTCTAGTTATATTCTATATGTACAATTTATATCAAATTCAATGCTTCAAGTGAGCGACCGACTCGAGCGGCGTACCGAGGAACAACCTATCTATGAGTAAGTTCGTTAAAATACAATAGATAGGCAACATTTATTGCTCGCATTTTCGAACGAAAAGAGAAAACATCACAGGTAATTCTTAGGTGCATGCTCCCTTGGCTTGCTGAATATTCTTTGGCATGCATATTGCTTCGACTCGCAGTAAACGATGTTATCACAATGTACAAGGTAGAATAAAACAGTTGTTGACGGTGTTTCTCGTTCCGACGATTTTCTGCGGCGAACCAAGAGAGAATACCGTGCGTTTTGTTCTACCTTCCGTGGCTCTTTTTTTCTCTCAAATTCACGATCTTCGCGTGATAGAATGTAAACTCGCGTCCGGTCGAATAGTTCGCATTATTCGCGACATTTCAGCTTCGCTTCACGTGTAGCATGTGAAGAACGGCGATTCATTGTTTGACTTCATCCTTGTCATTTAATTCCTCCGCCCGTCGGCGCGCTTTCTCCAGGATCTGCTTGAGCTCCGACGACCGTGCGGTTTTGTACTGTAATCAAACATTCAAATGATGAAGTGACGATTCAAAGGGGACGAGGGAAGAAGATATTTAGTGTAAGATACAAAGAGGCAAGTTGGCATAAGGAGCACGTTGACTTGATGCGTTTACGTTTATTTATCAGCCGGATAAATATTTTAATTAAAAACAGAGAAAAGTCTTGGGCCTGCATTCTGAATTCTCTTTTATCGGTAAAAGTATCTCTAAAAGTGGCTTAGAAACCATTTGATAGACTAAGAAATTACATTTAAGGCTCCTGTGTCCTCATCATAACAGTCCTTCTTTGATGACATCAGAGGCGAGAAATCTTATGTCAAAATATATTGTGGTATACGTAGAGATAAAAGAATATACGCTAAAAATAAAGAATACAAGTGTCCGGATATTTTTACAAGTGTGCTGAATCGATCACGAGTGCCATTTTGTGTATACATACTTTTATCTTCTCGTAAACCGCGATATATTTTGACGTGCGATTTCTCGCTTCTGATCAAACAAAGACAGTCAAAGCGAGGACATAAGAACCTTAAGGTACTTTTATTTTTTTTTTATAAAAAAGAATTCAGAATACAGGCCTTAGTCAAGAGCAGATTTTCGATTGTCTTCAAATTTCGTGTTCAACATTCTCTATGGCGAATGAGTAAACTTGGGTGACGTGTTATTAATAGGAGTGAAATTTTCTGCAGCTGTATGATATATTTTTCGTAAATATAAAAATAGTTTTTAATAAAATAGAATAATTAAAATAAGAATGGCAAATTTTGATTTGTACTTAATATTAACTTCGCGCCAGGTTTGCCTACATTTGGAACTGGAATTTAACAACAAAGCAAACTTACCCCGCTTTCGTTCCTTGCTAAGGTCAATTGGCCGTTGAGCCTGCTTCCCTCGGACATTCCGCAATATTGTTCCAATTGCCGCCTGGTCAAGTTAAACAGCTCCGTGCCGTTCATGCTTTCGAACTGCTTGCAAATTCTGCAAATGGAAATTATCGTAAGACAAATTATTGTCTTTGCACCGCTTCATATCGCGACGGTATGGATGTAACGTACTTTTGCGCGAATCCTTTGGCTGTCAACCAAGCTTGGACATCCCGCGGAGTCGAGTGCTGATTCAGCCAAATCTCCTGCTGCGTATCGTTCTTGGGCGAATTCGCTTTCTTTTCCCGGAATATCGACAGAACGAACTTGAGCTCATTGTGAACCTGCACTAGACTGCTTGCGTCTGTCGAAAGGAGCGTGTACGGTAAAATACGTTAGCATGTTCCAGATACATCGAGCGTCAGGTTCTAACTAGAGCCATTTATACGCGGAAAAAACTCACTCCCTGCAACTGAATAGGGACCAGACGAAAACTCGTGGCGAGAAATGATATATCTGTCACCGTGACTGAGCACATTCGTGCCCTGAAAGAAAATCAGAGTTACATTCAAGCATTCTTTTTATACATTTTCTTGAGTAAATATTTACTCAGGAATATTGAAGTAATTATTTAACTTGGATTAAATCAATATCACTTGAATGTAAGACACTGAAAGGGTAAAAATGCTACATTCAAGTAACATTTCTTTAATCCAAGTGAAGTAATCACTCCGATATTTCCTAACAAAAATATTTACTTCAATGTGTAGCATTTTTTCTTTCAGTATATGAACATTCAATTGCGTTAAAACTCGGTTGAGACAATTAAGAGAAACTGACTGAGCAAGAACCTCCTACAGGAATCCTTCTGTTTCAACAACTGACTCAGATAGCAAAATGATGTCATGTAGCGGTCAGCACGCGTTCATATATCGATGTAACATGATCTCACAAATGCATACAAATGCATGCGTATGTGTTGCTCAGATGTCAGTTCATATCATAATGTCAGAACAATATCTCATCTAACAGCATTAATCCAAATCAAGTCAAGAACATGCACACATATTTGTACATTATTTGTATACATCTCGTGCTCATGTCATGTTAATCACGTAAATGATCTTCAAAAAGGTTGAGGTTACAGTATGACAATCACATTGTGATTATTACGCATTTCTACCTGGGGATTTCTCGTCTGATGCCCGGGTAAATTCAGTCACAACGACGAAATTGTTTTTTCCGTGTACGATCTTGCACTGATATGCGTAGTAAACTCTGGTGAATAAGAATTGCACGACGCTTGATGTAACATATTCGCTATTAGAATTCATATTCGGAGGATTTACTGCTTTTCTCGGCTTTGCTGCTCGTGGAGGTGATCGACGTCGTTGATTTCTGCGTCTGAAGAGGCGGCGGAGTCGACGGGGTCGAGGACGGGGGTGGCGGAGGCGGTGGCGGGGGCGGCAAAGATAGTACCGTCGACGAGGCTGGTGCAGGTAGTGCCGGGATCACCGGAGGGGCAGGCAACGCTGGCATGGGAGCCATCGGCGGCGGCGGGGGTGGTGAAGTCGGCTTTTCTGGTACCAAGTCTGGAGTGATGTTACGGGGTGGCGGATGAACCACCACGATGCTTTGCGACATGTTGAGCTTCCTGTTGGGTGTCTCGACGGAGGAAGGGGTAACGTTAACAGCGACCGGGGTTTCGTTGTAAACGACGACGTCATCTGCAAAAAAACATCGTGATCAGTACGGGCGATCGAATTGAAAGTTTGCCGCGCGGGTACTCGACTCGAAATGCATGCCGTCGAGAAGCTAGTCGAAGCTATATCGAAAAAGAAGAAGAAGACGTGGAAAGGCTATAACTTACCCCGAAGCTCTTTCGCACGAAGGAACACGCACACAGTCTTAGGTACACTGGACGAACACACACGAAGCATATATAGTTCAAGCGCCACGCGATCGTGCTTGCCAAGTAATTCTACAGCTTGTTGCCAGACTTAATTCTACTAATAGTAACCGGAGGTAATTAGTGAGTTCGTTAGATTTGCCAAGTGTACACGAAGAAAAGAACGTAGTAAAAATTGCTACAAAATCTTGTGACGCTCGATCATACCGGAATTATGACTGAAATTATGTGTGTTGTAATCTTTACTGATGTGTATACATTACTAAAGATTACAAAACACATAATAATTTCGATAATAATTCGAATATAATCCAGCATTACAAACTTTTGTAGTAATTTTTACTATAATATTTTCCCCGTATGGATGTTGCTCACTGGAAAGAAATTAGTCTTAAATCAATGATAGATATTCTCATATATAAGCAAGAATATTATAATTTTCTTGGATTCTTCTTAAATTCTTCTCCGATTTTTAATCTTGATTTAATTGAATTTATATTGATGAAAATATTACTTCAATTCAAGACTAAAAATCTTCTATGTATAATTATAATATTCTTCCTTATGCGTGAGAATGTCTATTATTAATTTAAGACTATTTTTCTTCTGTGTGAGACGCGTCGTAGATTTTGTTCACTGAATCAAACAAGAAAGGTGCTCTCATCTAAAGTATGATGAACCGTTTTTTTAACTGATGTAATAATCCTATCTAATGGTATCATTATATGATCCACAGGAGACAGGAAGAATGAAGGGGACGACGGTGACGACGACATCTCCTCGCACAAGTACAATCTGTAAACTGCGTATGTTTATTAATAATACGTGATGTACATAAATTACAGTGTAAATGAAATACTGAACGGATCTCGCATCCCCGGCTCGTGTGCACAGATATCGAGCTCAGACTCCGATTGATCGTGAAAAGAAGAGGGAGAAACGCGACGTTTGCATATCTGTACACCGCGAATCCTCCTCGAGACAAAAATCTACGATCGCGATCTCGGATTATCGTGAGAATTTTTCAAGAGCGTCAACGCGATCACTGTGGTCGTAATTCGGCAATAAATAAAAGAGCGCGAAGAGAGAACGCGTATCTGCCGGACGGAGAAAGCAATATAAGAGAAAGCTCGCACTGCTAGTTTCCGCGATCGTTAAGAATTGCTCATTGACTTCTCATTGCCTGCATTCGGCAGAAAAAGTAGCTCAGAGAGCGCTTAATGATTATTGCTCCTCTGATTCCCATCCGAAGAAAAATGATATATATGAATTTTGTTTCTATGGGGCCCATATATAATCATGTATAATTATATATCCCATATCTAAAAATGCTGTTGTAAATATATAATTGAAGCAAATGCTTATTTTTATGGCTGCCCGATATAAACACTCGATTGAATCAAATTATTTCTTCCGTTTTTTAACAGTATTTATATACTGTTCAGTTATATTAATGTTGTGCACGCGCAATACATAAAATTTACGAATGTTCTAAGAACATTCTTTGGAATTATGAATGTATAAATCTCTATCTACAATATATTCTACATATATTCGTGAAATATCCGACTCGATTATTCTGGAATTACGAAAATTTATATTTCATAAGAATATTCAAAGAATATTTTGCGCTATCTGGGATCGATATAGGATTCTCTTGGATCTATATAAAGTATCTAAAAAAATACCCCAGTTAGAAGCAATAATTACTAAGCGCTCACTAAGCTCCTTTCACTGTTGAACGAAGCCATTGTCGACTAGTTGTCACTTCGTTCGAGCTAACACGTCACGAGACACGAGTGAAATTTCCGAGACCAAAGAGATTTCAAAAATAGTTCAGGATGTACGACAATCGCAGACGAGCGTGCTTGCGCGTTTTCTGCGATCTCTATCTTATCTGTACAGCACTCGTCGACAATAACTGATAGTACGGATTCGATCGTATTTTTGCGATGAGATTCACGTAAATTATACGGAGGGGACGATATCCGATCAAGGGGCAACCGCTTCCTTCGTTCGTCGTTGGTGAGACGCATGGGTACTCGGCATTCACCCCACTGTGTCGATCTGTGGTTCCGCTCGCATCTTCTTGCCCCAGCGTTCCCTTCGATCGTTTTGTACAAGCTTATTTACACTGATACATACATAGATGCATGCGACGACGAGACACGTACAAGCGGGATCGGGGAGAAGACTCGTTGCATCGATAAAAGCTATCGATAAAGCAAGGAGCGTACGATAAAGACAAAATAGCATAATCGTGACATTCTTTCCTTATTTCGCCACAGTCTCTCTCCTTTCCTCACTCGCTCCTTTTGGAATTCTTATCAAGGTCCGAAGAGCGTGCTCTCTCTCTCTCTCTCTCTCTCTCTCTTATAATAAAGCCCCCATAAAAGAACAAAGGACAAGCACAGCGATTTCGCCACAGTCTCAAACGTAAAAATGCACGGAGATACGGTACAGAATATATCGCGGTCCCGACTGCTAATCTCTCTTTCTAATCATTTCTAATCATTTAAGTTCAGGCGTGATTGTATATGTATATATCATTCCACACTCGTGCTGCCAACTTACACTGCTTTATTCGTATATAAGTATTTCCTTATCGAAAGGATCTTTCTTTCTCCCCTCCCCCCCCTTCTCTCTCGCTCTCTCTCTTTCTCTCATCTCAATAGGTTAACGCTTCATATCGTAACATTTTTTTGCGTAAATTAACGCATATGTAACATGTATACATATATATATTTATATCATTTTCTCTCTTTGCCGTTATAAACTATATAGCTAAATTTGGTTAGTCGATAAATACAGAGGATATTATACGTGACGGTATACATACACACAGATCGGTATAACAGCCTCAACACACGTAAAGTTGCACCACTCTAGAGAACAGTGTGTACTTCTTATTGGAAGTTTTAATATGATATGTCGGCGTTATATGTGCTGTATCATTCTTCAGATTGAAATTTTTTACTATTACACGATTTTCAGTTTTCCACAGTCGGCATAATTACAGTTGCAACATTTGCAAACTTTCCTTTCGATGAGTTTCGCAACGAGCTTCGCGTCCAACAAAAAAATATATTTCTTGAGAATTATTGAAAAACGAATTCTCCTATTGGACATCGAAAGCGTTGCGAAACTTGTCAGGAAAAATAGTACGGCTGTAATTATGCCGACTGTACATATAAGGTCGAAATCCTAATTAGAGCCGTTATAATCCTACCGTCGCACTTCAAAGTTACTTCTGTGATTTTCAACCTTATGTTAGGTTGAAAATCGTGTAATTCCTCGTTTAACCTTTAGAGGGCCGGGATTTGAGAGGGCATATCCGCCTTAGTAAAGTGGTAAAAAAGGTATCTTATATCATGGATTGACCATACACTAAGTATCGATCATGGGTAGCGCCAATATATTGGCTTTCCGGTCCTCTAAAGGTTAAGGAATGATATAGTGGGAAGCAAAACGGTTTGAACGTGGCTAAATTCGATGCGCAGCCGATAGTGCAATGAGAGAACGAATTCAAATAATAAAAAATAAGTTTTCTCATTAGACCATCGGCTGCGTTCTGAACTTATAGCTGCACCGTTTTGCACCTCATATGTAATATATATAATGTCGCCGACTGTACAAGTTCATGCATTCAAAAGCTGTTACGCCGCGACCTGTGCAGCACAAGCAGTAATAATCGAAAGTACGCAGTATTAGAAACTAGTTCGGTAACTCTCAACCACGTTACGCCAGACGACCGACGATCCTCACTGTCGATATTCTCGGTTAAGCGCGTTGCGAGATTCCGTGTGACTTGTCCGACGCGTTCCAATTCAACTGTGGTTGACAGTCACTGCTACCTGATAACTCCTAACAGATCTCGTTACCGGACGGCTTACATTTACGTCGTTTAAATTTCACGTTAAACGTTGGCCCCGAAAAGCGCTGGCGTCTCTCGATTCTCGCTGCGAGACGCGTGACGCGTCGAACATGATGCGTCACACGTCACGTCGATAGTTCCCGTTTCGATATATCTCTCTACTCGCTTCTCTTCTCAATTGTCGTTTCGCGATGTTCCAATTCGCTTTATCTTCATCGATAACGGCTCCTCCGCTGCGGCTCCTCTCTCCCGGCGAAAGAGTATCGAGCGATCTGCCTCATCGAAAATAGAAATGATCCCGTGATGCGTTCACACGTCTCAACGGTGGAGCGCGGACGATCGCTACCTAATGACGTCGGAATTTTCCTCCCTGACCCAATAAACACCAATTAACACTAATATTACATCGATATCGGATGCTTTGCATTTAGTAGAACAAATCGACACAAGCATCATTTTGTCTTTGTTCCGTATTTAATGAGGAACAATGATAAGATGATGCTTGCGCCGATTTATTTCACCAAATGGAAAGTACCCATTATAATTTCTCAACGAGTGAGACATAAGTCCTGTCTACAATAGGTGTTTTAAATTTTAAATTTTAGAAATTGACTGATCATAGTCGAATGTGAAGGAAATAATTGACTGTGATTGGTCAATTTGTTCACGTCTTAAAGCAAGGTTGTGGACAATGGGTAACTGTTACGTCCCAAACAACACGTACATCTAAAAGACGTCCTTTAGACGTCTTAATGTTATCTGGAATGCAATATGTTACATTACACTTACATTGTTGAGTGAGAAATTATAACACTGATGTAACGTTACTATTGATCGGTGTTTACCGGAGATCTCGATTCCCTATTGATAGCAAATCTGCAGCTTATTGCGACATTTCAGATCGTACAAGACGGAGGACAGACGCTTGCGATCACGTAACATAAGGTAAGAAATGCGAGAGTGACAATCGTGAGAAAAAAAAGGGGGAGGAAAAAGAATCCCAGCGGTGCACGCGCGCGCGTCACTCTCTGAAGAAAAACGATACATTAGAATAATCGCGATGCGAGCGACTTAAAGTACCACGCCCCTGTTGCAATCGTATGAATGGCTCAGTCTACATATTAATCGCTCTCACACCTCCGTATGTACAGGCACACACACGCACGCACGCACACATACACGCACGATACTCACATTCGCTCACGTCTGAGAGGAAATCGTCGGATATTACAGAACCCATCGACGAGTGCGCCAACTGAAACGTGACGTGGACGGTGATCTAATTATGCTACGAGTTCGTTTACAAGCTAACGTGATGCGCGCTCTCTTATCTCTCGTGTATCGAGGCTTTATCGGATCTGATGATGATATATTTATGTATGTACGTCGGCGCGATACCACCACCGTCGTAACCACGTCAAACGAGAGAGCATATTTTTCCCTTTCCTTTTTTTTTTTTGGAAGACATTCCGTTGTTTCTCCATGATCGAGGCTCGCTTATGCGTATGCGTGAGGATTGTGATCTGAATCTGCACATTTTTTTTTTTACGCAACTTTCAACTCGGCTCGTTAACACGACGACACTCCCGACGTCAACACGCCGGGGAGATCGCCCAGATTCGGATACGGACAAGACAAACTCACAATCGCGAGCTGGACAAATGGCTTAGAAGTAGCGAAATTCACCTTTTTTGCCGAGTCTTTCCTTTCTCACCCAATCAGCAGGCGCTGGCGGCGGGATCGCGTGTGTTCGGTGAGTGGCTTCTGGGCCTGGACTAGTGCTGGTTCTCTCGATCTCCGAATCCTGCAACGAAGCCGATCAGATTGGAGAAACTCAAAGCCAATTCTACAGATTTTATTAATCTGTCGACTGTCAATGATAATTCTATTAAAATATGTGTTGATACCTAGCCTGTAAGAATTACCCATTGGTATTAGAGCGTAGCAATTTATTAGAATAGTGTTATAATATTTACTTAAATGTTTAATTTTTGAAAAAGAAAGAACGAGTTTGGAAATTTTTTGAACTTTTCAAAGCTCCTGGTTTCTCGCTGCAACTGTCTCTGTTTGATGACGTCAAAACTGAGAAAACGTATGCCAAGAATTCCTGTGTCATACGTTCAAATAAAATGATATATCCACAAAATGACACTTGTAACTGATTCTGCACACTTGTAAAATTACCCGAACATTCTTCTTTTACTCTTGCAGTGAGGGACCAGAAGCCTTAAATATTTAACTTTTTTTTCTTTTAAGAGGAAGAGCGAATTTAAAAGCAGTAAAAACTTTTTCGAAGTTTAATTTTTATAACGATTACAGAAATTGTTCAAATTGTCCTTCGGCGTTAATACACGGTACGATGCGATCTAAAGTGGATTGAATAGCCGTAGAAAGAGTATTATGATTGTTCCTTATTTGTTCTCACATGTCATCAACACACTATATTTAATTCAGCGCGAAATATTAAATTTCCTTTTGTATATTAACCCTTTGCACTCGAGGGCTCCGGAGCGGAGCCATTTAAAATTTGTCTTCAAACTCTTCAAACTCAAATGCAAATAGCAAGAGCGGAATATCCTATACACAATAGTTTTTACGATTTGTTTTTGTCCTTATGAACTGAAAGTTATTTGCATTGTCTCCATAGCGGAGCCCTCGAGTTTGAAGACAAATTTTAAATGGCTCCGCTCCGGAGCCCTCGAGTGCAAAGGGTTAGATTTTGAATCTTTGTGTTTTCTTCGTTAACTTTCAACTTTTGATAAAAAAATATTCCAAAAAATTGTGCTATCATTTCTGAATAAATAATCGATTCGAATTAAACCAATGTTTATAGATCATTACTTCGATTTACGCTAGAAATATATTTTAAAGAGGTTATCAAGTGAAATGAGTTTGATAAGAATTCGATGAAGTTTGCACTACGTATGCACTGAAATATTACCTGCCTATGTAATTAGGAACAGATTGACCATTCGGGAATTTTGCAATTTAGATTAGAAGATATTAAAAATACAAAGCAAACTTAGTATGCTAACTCAAGGAATACTGAGCTGGCACAGGAATATTCTATAATTGTTATATGAATATTCATTACCAATATATATACATTCATAGAATATGCTGAAAACACTGTTATATATTCATAGTATGTTTTTAGTATATTATAATAACACTACTAAAAATATTCTATAAAGGTGCACAGAATATTTTATCGAATGTTGTAGGTGTGCAGAGAGAATTAAAAGACACACGAGAGCAGTCTCACGTGTGCACGCACAGATCTCAGTTTTTAATTAAGTCATAGTGTGTACTCATATATAGGATTGTTTATCCTTTTTTTAGCCAAATCAATGCATTGCGATAAATAAATTTCACGAATGTTCTAGAAACGTTCTTTTTTATAGTTTATAATTTTCATATTTTTTATAATTTCATTTTTGAATATGCGAATCTTTGCCTACAATATTCTACGTATATTCATAGAATGTCTAATTCGAATATACATATATATTCATACGTACAAAGGGGTGAAATATAAGTCATATTATTATACAATCACGTATTAATTGCGCGTCAACTGCTGCCGCCGCGCACGTGTCTATCGCGCACACCTGCGGCGGCAGCTTCATTCAGCGCTCGCAACGTGACGCAATAATAATGCATCGCCGCGGTATCTCGAAGGGTGTGTTCGGCCTCTCTCTTGCGCGACTCTCACCTCGTAATTATAGCCGTGCCCCTGCCTCGGGTATCTGCTGGTGTACAGAGGATTGTTAAAGACATCGTTGTCGGCGGCATGGGCGGGATTGTGCGGCGTGACGATAGTATGCGGCACGTGCGCGACCTGTCCCCGCGAGTTCCTCGCCTTCCACCACTTCCTGCTGTCGTCGAGGATCTCCAGGTACTCGCCCCTGACCACCGTCAGCTCCTTGTCGTTGTTCGCGGTGCGCGGGTAGGTGACCTGCACGATCTTGGCGTGGCGGGCCACCAGCTCGTCCAGCCAAGCTTCCTGCGCTCGCTCCATGCCGGCGGCGGCGCGTGGCGCCCTTTCGATCGAGTCGACGGAAATGTCGCTGTGCGCCCTGGTCTGGTCCGCGCGTTCCTCCCGACCGTAGAGCTCCGAGCCCGGCCCGTAGTTCCTATCGAAGTACTCGTTACCGCCGCGCTCTTCGCGGCTCTCGTATTCCAGGTAGTCGCTGCTGTAGTGCGACTCGTCAACGTCGCGGTGGTTGTAGTAGGGATCGTTCTGCTGCTCCGGCAGCTCGTCCCTCTTCTGCTTGTCGGCGTTCAACAGCGAGGCCAAGTGGTCGTGGTCGCGGTCCTCCGGGATGGGATACTCCGGCGACCAGCCGTCCATGAAGATCGGGTGGTACGGCGGCACGTGGCCCTTCCATTGGTCGCGAGGTATCAGCCACGTGTCACCCAACGAATGCCAGAGCTCGGTCTCCTTGCTGGTGACGCAGTTGATGAGCAGGTTGACCGCCTCGCGGGTCAGCAGCGGCGACACCACTTTGCTCGGTAGGTTCGGGTCGTAATTGGTGTCGTGAGAGGCGTCCACGATGAGGGCGAGCGGCGTGAAGAGAAAGTGCACGAGCTCGGGCGCGTTGGGATCGTGGATGTGCGCCTTGAGCTTGGCCAGCAGGTTGAAGGAGAGCTTGAACTTCTGGAATATATCGACGAACTCCATCTCGGGCGGCGGCTTCGCTCTCATCGTCAGCATGCCGTCGCCCAGGTTTCTCTTCTTCGACTTGCGGTTGCGCCGCCGGCGCTCCAGCTCCCTCGACGCCGCGGCCGCGTGTTGCAGCCGCGCGATGAACTTCTCGATGTCGTCGAAGCAGTGGTTCAGAATTGTCACGTCGCGCTCGTACTTCTCCGAGGACGTCGACGACACCTCGTCGTTGTTCTCCTCCCGCGATATGTCGTTCTGACCGTCTGCTGTGTGCGTAACCGACAGAAATATTTCTGAGCTCGCACCGATATCGCGTCTCGTCTCTCTCTCTCTCTCTCTCTCTCTCATCTATCTATCTCTCCGAACGAATGTCATGATTTTTACAAAGCAACGACTACGGAAGTAACAACGACTACAGAAACAGCGACGATTACAGAAACAGCGAGGATTACAGAAATCAAGGTTACAGATTCGCAAAATGTACGAAGATATTCTCGACGACACCGAAGGTCGACTTCAGGACAATCACTTACCATTAGCTGCGTTGAAAGCGGACACTTGCTCCCTGACATTGACGCCGTTCAAAGGTGGTTCCGGCGGCGGCAAGGCAGGCGGGGGTGGGATGTGGCCCCTGGGACCCCTGGGCGAGCCGCCAGTTACCAGTTTGCCCATCTGCAGCATCTTCAGGTCCTCGACGAGGTCCTGCGCCGACACGCTCTGACATTGAAATATGTGCATCTCTGCGCGCTGGCCGGAACCGCTGTCGTCGGCCACGGTGAATACCAGGATGTTGTTGTACATCTCCATGGGGTCCCGCGACGTGAACGCCGTCGGTTCCTGTATCAACGCAGCCGGGAACCGCTCCATGACGGCCTGAAAATTGCCGATCGGTCGTTAAGTGAAACCGACGACACTCCAGCGGTGTGCACGCGACAGTTTCGCGGACGATCTACTTTCATACGTGACGTCGCTGAACGAGGCACCGCGGACGACACTCAGACGCGCGATCGGCCTTCGATCCGCGCGCGACAAACGTTTGATTTGAATGAACGTTTCATTCGGAAATCATATTAACGCGGTCGTCGAAGATCGAGGACGCGATAAAAGTAGGTATAATTAGAGCCATTTCACAAAGTACATCTCTTCGTTTGTGCGCGAGATGAGCGTTCTCACGTGCTAGGTAGAGAAGAACCCGCACCGCCGGCACGAAAAGGAGAACTCACCCCTGTCTCGTTGTCCATGATAAGGACCCAGTTTCGCTCCAGACGGAGCTGCATTTTTTGACTCCAGATGCCGTTGCTCTTCTCCAGCTGTAAAAGCCGGCGCATACCGTCCGCCGGATAAACAATACCGGTTTCCTTCGTGACGGTGAACGTGGCCAGATGCTCCATCATGTACGTCGGCTCCGAGCTGCTGGCGCGGCCGCCAGAAGTGCTGGACGGCCCGCTGGAGCCGCCGTCTGGAACACGAGACACTCCCGCTTTTAATGAATTCAGCCGCTCGACCAAATGTCACGCGATCCAGTAAGATTGCCTCCGAAATTATCGGATCATTCCGAAAGCTACAACGTTACTCCGGCATTAAAGATTACTCTGAGATGCGCGATCGATAGTCGTTATTTGAAACTTGTCTCAGATAAGACACTCTGGTTTCAATTTAGAGATAGGTCTGAGCTTTCCAGTTCAATCGTATGACATGTATAATATTATATTCGAAGTCATGATTCAACTGGGAAGCTCACATCTAATTTGAAATCTAAGGTCAACATTTAATAGTCGTCAATTGAAACTTGCCTCAAGTGAAATATTCAGATTTGAATTTCAAGTTAGATTTGAGTCTTAGTCAAATTTTACGATACACGTTATGTTACACTTGTAATCGCAATTTAACTGTAAAATTCTAATTCTGTAAAAGATCTAACTCTGAATTCAAATTTGAGTATCTCATTTGAGTGCCAGTTTCAAAAAAGTAACGACTATTAAATATAATATATATTTAATAGTGTATTAAATATGTATATATAATTCATGTAACATATTTTATATATATTTAATTTGTCTTTTTTGAAGCTTGTCTCACATGAAATGCTCCGAAATTTAAAGAGTTGGATCTCAATTTTCCAGCTAATCGCACGACACACATGACGTTCTATTTGTAATTGTGAATCCACTGAGAAAGTTGCATTTAATTCTAAATTCAAACATGACTATCTCGCTTGGGACAAGTTTCGAGTAACGACTATTGATACGAGCCTAAGTTTCGAAAGCATTTCTCCCATTGCTCGAGAAAGCTTGTCTCCATCGAACGTGTCGAAAGAAAAAATCCAACCGAGGCAATTTTCCTCTCACTTTATTTTCTGCGATGCTAAATCAGACACGATTGCAATCCAAATCATTGGACCATCGACTGACGATCGTGATTTAACCCGGGATGCAATTAGCTGGCATTCCGCGCTCCAAATGAAGGAACATTGCTCACCTTTGTTGTAAGCGGGACTGTGGCCACTGTTGTAGTACGGCATGGTAACCAGGATGTGGCGTGCCGGCTGATTATAACTGAAACGGAGTTCTCGGTATTATTACGCGGCGCATCGCTGAAAAGAGGATTTGAGTTATGTGTCAGGTAATAATCCGCCCGCCGGGGAGCGCACCACGAAAATCTTAATTGGTCTTCTCTTCTGCTCGCGAAGGTCGTTCGATTTATGCGGCGAATGTGCGCGTAGACCCGTTTCTCTCTCTCTCCCTCTCCGTTCCGTGTTAGTTAGCGGTAAGGACCGGCGCGCAACGCGGTTTAATAGCTTAATGACAGCGAGCAATGAGAGGCCGATGCTTGCACGTCGCGAATGAGCGCGAACGGCGTATCCGGCTACACCGGGTCAAACACAGCGGTGATACCATAGTTGGCGCGCAAGAAAGCCAGCAGTGGCCGCAGTGAAATTCCGACGCAGAGCCTAATTCGCTCGCCAGACATGTCTGGAATTCGTCTCGTCCGCTCCTCGTGCGCAGTACCTCATTGTCGAAGGTGAAACCTTGCGCTACCGACGACGGAGCTATTAATTTCGCCGGCCGGACGCTCCTTCGCTCCGTCGTTCGCAATTCGCAATCGCGAGCCTTCGCTCGCTTCTTTCGGACTATCCTCTATAAAGGAAAGGGGATGGGATGACGTCCTTAAATTTTATCGATTTTTCTTTATTTTCGTAATAACGATCAATTCTTTTTTTAGTAGCTGAAGTCTTACCTGTGTGTCACCTGTATAAACTGAGAAATTTATCAACTAGAACTTCGTTCAATTTAGATTATTTAAGAACCTGTCAATTGCATCATCTTGCTCTCATACGTGAGTAAGATGACAAAGGTTAAAAATAAATTTGTTATGTATACAAAAAAATATATGATTTTTACAAGATTGTTATTTATATCAGTTTGCACTTATAATGTCTATACAACACAATAAGAAAATATTATATATGAATAAAAAATATGATTTGTACAATGTAACTTAAAGAAAAGAAAATCTAGATAAGAACAAAAATAAAAACAAGCAAATCGTCATTTTGTCCATCTCGTTATCTTACCCTCATTCTCCGGTCCCTACAACGGCCCCGGTTTTTGCAATCAAAATAAATTGTAGGCCATAACTCATGCATAATCTCCGAAGGGATGTATAATTAGTAAACGTTAACTTTACGTATAGATTTTCTCGATTTGCGAACCTGTGATGACAAAAATGTCGCACTTCAGATTACCTTACAAAGTGTGTGTGTGTACGTGCAAAGTAATCAAGGTGGAAAGCCATTTTGCTCGAGCAGCTTCTCAATCATCGAGAAAAATCGTGCCTGCATTCCGCTCGATTCGTTCATCTAGGTTCTGCCGATTATGAAACGTCTAATGACGGACAATTTCAGCTCTCACGCTGCAACCGCGAGAGAAGAGACTTCCAAATAGCCGTAAGAACGTGGTGACAGCATACCTGGCCGTTTCAGGCTTTACACACGGCGCGGAGAGTCACGTTGAAAGCGCGAACACAGTTATCGCGATCTTTTTTTCTGCCCGTCCCTCCCGTCACTTCCCGGCACGAAGATGTATCACGTCGATGTAAATTGATACGTCATAAGATCCACACGCGCTCCGATCGCCACGCTGATACTGATGAGATAGCCGCGTACATGTGTGTGCAAGAGAGAGAAAGAGAAACCGAAACGGCGTTTTTGCATAACTATGCGCCAAGAATGTGAAATTCTGAATTTGTTCCAAGAGAAATTCCCGCATTCACGAACGCTTGTATCTCGGTATCGCCTGGCGTGCGCGCAAGCCGACCGACTATTCGGATTTACCGCCTACTGCTTTTCGGCTCTGTACACACGCGTTCCGCTATGTTCACGTGAAATAAAATTGGTCATAAGAATAGAAATAGGCTCTCAGATGTCCGATCGAACGTACATCGGGCCCACGAGAGTTCGAGTGAACGGGCGCATATTTCATCGAGCGAGGTGCTTGATCGCAAAATGAAAAGTACATCTCGCAGGTGCGAGACCGAGTAGAAATGTATCTATTGGCCTGAGTCAGGAGCTAGTAGCTAATTAGCTGGTACAAAGTACATATTACGGATTCGTTCGGTATTGTTTAATTATTCCTTATAAAATAGAAGAGAAAATGTCGAGAATAAATTAATGATTCCGATCGGAATTCATTTCGAACAGATCCATACTCGTGCAGGTTAGATTATATTTTCTAGCTTGTTGTTAGCTCGTTTCTGCTGATTATTCATTAAAATGTAAAATCGATTTTGTGATCTAGTCCTAACCATCACACATTACATATCAAATATGACAGAATGGCGTTGGCGTTGTCTATTCTAAAATGTAACCTAGTTACTATATATCTGTCACAAATACTTCAAAATTAAATATCAACTCAAAATTGAAGACACGTTACTCCATAAAAATTAAAAAAAAAAAGTGAACATTACATTACTATTTGGCAACTAATTATAATTTTTCATAATTTTTATGACGATCAGCTAACTTATTTATCTAGCCATTATCTAGCCATTAGAAGAAATAAAGATTATATTAAATGCTTTCCATTTGGTGATACAAGTCAACATAAGCATCGTTCTATCTTCTTTACTCACTAATATGAAACGAACATGGACGAATAAAGACAAAATGATACATCGACTTGTACTACTAAATGGAAAGCACCCATTATTAACTGATACCGACTTTAGACACAAATTTACCACCTCGTGACCAGACACTCACGAAATTCAGTTTCTACCAGAGAAACATTCCGATCCTCGCTTGGATCTTTCTCGATACGCACGGAGAATTTCTCCGGAATGGTAACGTTTGCGCGAGCTGAAAAAGTGCCGAATAGCTTTACCGCCCATTCGGCAAGAACTCTCAGGCGCAGATTATGAGGAGGATACATATTCGCAAATAAATAGGCGCGCTTCTGAATAACAGCTCGCGTACACACGCGTGTAATTAGCGGTGTTTAACGCGGCGCGAACCTCGTGACGACTATAAAAATACCCCTTCAAACACATCCAGTTAGCGTAACGTGTTGTCAATCGCATTTACGTAACAGTGCGTCGACGATTGGCCGCTATTTCATAACCGCAATCATAGTGTATTAAAAAGTTTACGTAAACGTTCCCGCGAGTCTCGCTACAAGGATCGAGTGTTTACTACTGCCCGATACATAATTTTCGGAAGTCTCTGACAAGCCGATGACGAGCGTCGGACGGAGACAAAGACATTTCCTTCCACTTGTTACGATATCGATCAAGCGTTGCCTTGCACCGTGGAAACGAAAACGGGAAAAATAATGCTATCGTCCGAACGGCAAAGCCGCTTTCTATCTCTCTTTCTTTTTCTCCTCCTCCTCTTGCTGTAATATTTCGAAATAAATCGCTACATCCATTCGAGATGGGATCAGATCGTTATCTGGCTGCGCAGCTACATCAATTAGAGTAGTTACATTCCTGCCTCGCTTTTTCCGACTCTCGGATATCGAGAAATGGATCGCACGAAACAATCGCCGAGACTAATGGGAAAAAGAACAATTACGCGACGTGCGTTGTTTCGCGCGGTGAGCGCAACATACGTATTAGGGAATTGTGGTAGCGCAGACTCGACGTCATAAAGAGAGCCAAATTGATTTCTATCCGGTAATTATATCGAGAGAACGCGGACTCTGAAAACTGCAGCGTGACGTGAGCGAGAGTGACTCCGAGCGATCATGTCGAAGAGCGTTTCTTCATCATCGCAGTGCCTGTTGATTAGCGTGCGAAACGCTACGTCACGTGACTTCAGCACCCGCAGAAAATCGCGCATACGGTGTTCGGATATCCAGCGGGGTTGTCATCTCTCTGATTTTCGCCCGGAGTTTCCGCGGGAAAGAGGAAATCTACGAATCTCCGGTCAAAAGACAAAGTCATCTGGCCAATGCGGCACAATACATTGAAAAATCCATTTGATTGACTCAAACGAAATTTGGATATGCTCAAACAAACGTTTCGTGAGAATCAAAATTTGATTTTCCAAACCAAAGATTTAGATCTTTAAAACGAAAATGAAGAAGGTTTAGTTTGTCTCTAAGTAAATTATTCAGAGAAAATATATGATCCTTGTATATACTTGATCCAAGTAAAACTTGCTGAGGAATATTGGAGTAACTATTTACTTAAATCTAGCACATTGACTTCACCGAATTTGATTTTATTAGAAAATTCATAGCGAATACATTTTGATAACGTAATACACAAAGCGCAAAACATATGTAATGTCAAGTACAATAGTAAGTGCGATATTTTAATAATAATAAATAAGAGATTTTTAGAATGTTTGAGATGGGCGCTGTATCACACTGAGAGAAAAAAAGTGCTACATTCATGTAAATAATTACTCCAATAGTTCTGAGCAAATTTTTACTTGGATTAAGGAAATGTTACTTCAATTTAGTATTTTTGGTTACATATTCGAGTAATATTTACTTGATTCAAAATTTGCTTAAACCAAGTAAAAATTATGCTCAGAACTACCAGAGTAATTATTTATTTAAATGTAATATTTTTTCAGTGTAGAATTATTATTAATCCTTTTAGTGCCGAGCAAAAGTATCGTACCTATGCGAAGAATACCGAGCCAATTTGACGAATTTGCTAAGGTTTGGGAGAAAGCTCATAAAAACCAAATTACAAATGATATTTACAAAATTCAAAAAGCAGCATATTACGAAATAAAGAAAGAATAAAGTAATGCCAATTGTATTTCAATATTTGTTGAAAATCATACGAATAACATCAATATAAAACATGATGAAAAACATAGAAACAAGTTTCTCTTCTACAAACAATATTTGCACATAAGAATAATCATCGTTTGATCACAATTTTATGTAGATCACATAGTATGAAGTATAAGTATTACATTTTCAATCATTTTTAACAAAATAACTAATATCGGACCTGAGAACGAAACTATCCCGTGTCGAGTTTCTACCTTATCGCTCCAGCGTATACAGAGCCTCGGCACTAACCAGCATAGAAT